TCCGCGCGGGCCCCACCCCCACTACCCTGTCCGTTCACCGTCCCGCCTCCAATGGCGAGTTTGGTGGAAGGGCCTCCTGGCGTGAGAGGCTGCCAGGAGACAAGTGTTTTGTTTGAGGTCTCTAAGGAAACCTAGTTCATGGGAAAATGATGTTTGATGATGGGTTAAGTTGTTTTACAATTAACTGGGCTGCCCGGGGACCAGAGGTTGGTGAAACGCTGTGTGGGGAGGGGAGGGTGGGGGGATGCAGACACCCCCATGGGTTTAATTTCCCGTGGTGTGGGTTGTTTGGGGATCTCTGTTTGCCCTTCTCAGAGAGCAGATGACCCAGGGCACAGGCTTCGGGTGGTGACGTGTTCTGCTGTGGCTCTTTCCCCAATAGTTGGGTTTGGACTTGGAGGAGCTGGAGGAAATCGAAGAAGATGCTGGGCTGGGAAATGGAGGCCTGGGCCGCCTGGCAGGTAATACGGGGAGAGGGGAGCCCCCTCCTCGCGCAGAGTGCATGGGGACAGAGGGTGGCCTGGCTCAGGGCTGCCGTGCCCTCGCCACCGGCACTGCAGCAGGACAGCGTGCAGACCTCAGCCCTTCAGCAGCGTGGCACCCTCCTACCAGGTCCTGGCTGGCCAGAAATGAGCCCCCTCCTCGGGGAAAGCATCCAGGAGATGTAGTTGTGTGGTCTGCAGCACAGCAGGTAGGGCTGCGGCTGAAAGAGGCTGTCTGGAGCCTTTCTCCTCACCTCCCTGTGGAATCTCTCACTTTTCAGAGGCATCCAAGCAGCTGTCACTTAGGCAGATTGTTGGCTGCTATTTTAGTCTGCCTGTCCCACGGGACTGCTGGAGACAGGAGCTCCCCAGTGTGGAGGAAAGGCCGGGGCTGATCTTTACCGGAGCTGCCCCAGACTGAGGGCTGGAAGGGTTTTTCTTTGAAAGCGATCACAGCAAACTAGCTGGTGGAGCAGTGAGTCAGGGTCAGAAGCCCTGCTTTAATGGGCAGGCAGGCAGGCTTAGAACAAGGCTTGGGCACCTTGGGCAAGTTTAGAAGAGCTCTCACTGCCACAAGGCTGGATTTGGGTGTTTGGTGACCTGTCCTCGTCACCAGCAAATTTGAGGTGTTCATCATGCCTTGGCAAGACGTGCATGGGGTCCTGCTGCAGGCTGTCCCTTCTGGGCGTGGATTTCCTCTGAGTAATGAATGTTTCCAGTGGCATTGGTTGTGGCCACTCCTCACCCCTGTGCACAGAACCCCGTAGTAGCTGCTATGAGCGAGAGGTGAGGTTCCTTGCAGCATGACCATGCTCTGCTCTGCTCTTCCAGCTTGCTTCCTGGACTCCATGGCCACGTTGGGGCTGGCAGCATACGGCTACGGCATCCGCTACGAGTTTGGTATCTTCAATCAGAAGATTGTTGATGGCTGGCAGGTACGTTGGCAAACTCAAGTCACCCTTCCTCCTTCTGTTTCATGCTGTAGTGGCCACCTCTGCCTGTGGACAAGGCCACACAAATGGCACTGTGGTGCCTTGGGCCATTCAAAACCAGGCATTTGAGCCCATCATCTGGTACCAAATGGGCTGTCGCTTCCCACCACTTGTGCTGACCTGAGGGCTCTGACCACATGAGCAAAGAGAAGTTAAGGAGGCTGAGGGGAGACTTTATTGGTCTCTAAAACTCACTGAAAGGAGGGTGTAGTGAGGTGGGGGTTGGTCTGTTCAACCAAGTAATAAGTGACAGGACAAGAGGAAATGGCCTCAAGTTGCACCAAGGGCAGTTTAAATTGGATATTGGGAAGAATTTCTTTCCTGAAAGGGTTCTCAGGCATTGGAAGGGGTTGACCAGGGCAGTGGTGGAGTCCCCATCCCTGGAGATATTTAAAAGACAAGTAGATGAGGTGCTCAGAGATACGGTTTAGTAGTGGACAGGTATGGTTGGACTTGATGATCTTAAAGGTCTTTTCCAATCTAGACAGTTCCGTGATTCTATGAAGTGATGAGGGTGGTGGGGTGTACGTGTGGCAGGTGCTTACCCAGGGACACATGTGAGCTCATCCACACCAGTCACCAGCCTGGTGAGACAGTGTTGGAGCCAAGCCCCCAGGGCATGGCTGGGACCAGAGGTCTCCCTGCCCAGAGCTCCACGGCATGGCTGCAACAACCCAAGTGCTGTCCAGCCTGGCAGTGAGTGGGCTAAGGATGGAGAAGTGGCTAAACACCTCATGAAGGTGTCTGGTGGAGGACGAATTTGAACATGATGATGAAGCATGTGCAAGTGCCTGGGGTGCTACTGCTCCTGCAGATTCCCTGTGAGACCACCAGCAGGGGCTTAAGCAGGGGCTCTCCTGTAGCATTAATGATCATAATATTTTGCAAGTGAAAATAGGCTAAAAATCTGCCCCAGCTGGCAGTTTTCCCTGGTATATGTCTGGAAGCAGTTTCCATTAGGAGCCTTGTCTTGCTTCTGAGCATAAAGGACCTTTTTTCCCCTTAAAATAGCTCTCCATAAGTCAGAGAGGTTTGAAGGTTGTTTTTTCCTCCTTCCCCACAAAGAAGCTGCAATGCCAGGTCCTATAAATGGTGAAAAAAGGGGAAAAAGCCTCCACTGTAACTGGCTTAATGTTACTTAAAAAAGAAGAGGGGTGGTGGTGATGCTGGGTTGTGGCTCAGAGCAATGACCACAGAGACAGCATCTCTCCAAGGGCCTCAGCCCCTCTGGTTTCTGGTGCACATCAACCTTGGTGGGTCTGCCGAATTCACTTTGTTGGTGCTGTTAGGAGCAGGGAGAAGAAATCCTCTCTGGCAGAGGGCAGAGCAGTTAGCAAGCCCTGGGTTGGTTTGTGGCTGGGAACAGCACCGATGGGCTTCTAGGGAACCACATCCCATATGTCCCATTATCACGATCAGACTGGATGTGGAGGCCTCGAGACAGACTGAGCGCAGCGGTCTGTGCAGTTTGGATGGTTTAAACCCCTCAGCCCATAGAGGCTGATTGATTTATACCAGCTGGGATGTAGTCATCCATGTTTCCAAAAGCCCAGCTGTCCTCTAGAGGCCTCTGCAGATCCATTTTTAAAGCCAGCTGACTGAAGCTTTGCTTCTCAACTGGCCTCCCTTCAGAAAGCCCAGTTGAGCCTTCTCTGGGAGGCACAAGCCATCGCTTGAAGCCTGTTTGCCTCTTGCAGGTGGAGGAGGCCGACGACTGGCTGCGCTACGGCAATCCCTGGGAGAAGGCTCGCCCGGAGTACATGCTCCCCGTGCACTTCTACGGCCGCGTGGATCACACCCCTGAGGGTGTCAAGTGGGTTGACACCCAGGTACCAACATCTCCCCCTCGGTGCTGGGCTGGGGGTGGGGGGCCAGGGTAGCGTGGAGGGGGAGAGTCTGTCCCCAGGCTGCCTGATGTGGTTGTGGTCAGACTTTGCTTCTGTCCCAGCAAAACTCTCTCTGCTACCCTCGCAATTACAAAGGTGACTTTGTTGGCTATGGCTGCAGCAGGATTTGAGGAGAAGAGGGATGATAGTCAGTCACAGCTGTAGCTTTAGATCAGTTGGGGCCTCCTTCTCTACTGATCTCCAGGGTGAAGTCCCACAGTCTTGCATGGATTTATGTCGGAGGAGGACTGTATCCCTGGCAGCTGTTCTAGGCTCCTTCCACATTGCTCCTGGCTACTGCTCACTCAAAGCCAGTGGTTTTGCAGGTGATTCTGGAACTGCTGCTGTGAGTGGAGACTCATCTCGTGGGGTGGCCATGGAGTAATCCCCTGGGTGTTTAACTCCCATGATCAGAGCAAGTTCTTCTTTCCCAGACCAGCCTGATGGGTAGAGTGCTATCAGAGGAGGCAGGAGGCATGGTTTCAAGTCTCCAGACTGCGTGGAAGCCTTGTTTTGTAGCATCATGAAGAGCAAATGCTCCTTCAGCCTCCCACAGATGGGAAGGTAATGCTGTGCTTCAGGAGCACGTGCCTGCTTGGAGCACAGGCTGCTGGGTCATGCAGCATTCCAGTCTTGCAGCTGAGGAACACAAGCTTTAAAGGGGCACTGATTTATTAAGAGGACTGAAGATGGTTCAGCTTCTCCTGTCCAAGCACTGCCCAGGATGGAGGAAGGAAGGACTATGAATTTCTCTGGGATTCAAGGACGTGACCTAGCCTTGTTCCTGTGATGTTCAAGGGTCTCTCGGCCTGATGAGCCAGCTCTGTCCATCCGAGGAGTGCACAGTCATAAAGCCAAGCCATTCTCTTCAGTGCCAAGAGCTCGAGCTCATTTGCAGAGTCTCCTGGTCCCACTCAGAGGATAAATAAGCCAGGTCCTTTTCCAGGAACCCTGGTTGTCAAAGGCTGTGCAGTGACCTAGGCCATTCCCAGGACACACACAGTGCAGGGGTTCACCACCACAACCCCATGAACAGCGTGGAGGCACCATGCCAGAGCTCTCTGGGGAAGCAGACATCCACTTGGGGACCAAGTGCCATTGCCTTTCTGCTCCTCTTTTGACCCCAGCAGTAGTCCAGGGTCTCAGGGATCCCCAGCAGTGCAGTGGAAACACTGCTTCCTACAAGGAGATGAATTTTCAGATGGTGCCGTTAGGAGAACAAGTTGAAAAAGCTAAAAAAAGCCAAAGACACGGTCTCCAAATATAGCACTGCCCAGTTCACGTGGTGTGTGTCCCCGTCCCGTGGCTGAGGCAGGCCAGGCTTTCTGCCTGCTTCCCTGTTTGGAGCTGGTCATAGCAGCTCTGCGAGCCTGAACTCTCGCTGATTCTCCCCAGAGAGGAGGTGTTGCTGGTGCCAGCACAAAGAGCTTGTTGAGGGCCACCAAGATGATCTGCCTGGGTTTTTCCTGCCCTGAGAGTGCAGCTCCTGCAGTTCTCTGCTGCCTCTCACATCGTTGCTTGGGGACAGCCTCTGGCTGCTGGGCTGTCACGCCAGTACTCATTTACTCGTTCAGGAGGATGCTGGATTCTTCTGACAGTGTCAGAGATGTGGCCGAGGCTTCATGCTGGATCAGGGCTGCAAGCACCATTCAGCTTTGCTGGCATAAGCCCTCAGCCTCTTTGTTCCAGGCTGAGGTCAGGTGCCTTGCCTTAGTGTTCAGCAG